CCCCGACAGCGCCGCCGCACAGAGCCGGTGCCGCACGAGGCGCAGCTGCAGAACGTACTTTGGGAATTGCAGCGCCGGCGCACCAGCCACCCGTTTCTCCAGCTCGTTGCCAACCACTCGCGCGGTGTCGCCGCACTCCCGTAGGAGCGCCGCCACACCACGCCGCTTGCACCCAGCAATCGTCTGACACGCCGCGACGTCGAGCAGCGCATTACACAAAAGTTCCTTCAGAGAGGCCACCGACAGGGCGGCGACGGCTCCACCACGACCCGCGTCATGTGGCTGGTGCTGCTTCGACAGTTGACCCCTCGCAACGAGCAGCGCAGCATCGGCGCACGCGCTGCGATGGAGCTCGACGCGGAGCGCAGTGAGACGCTCCCGCCACTCGCGGACAAACTCCCCCGCGGGCTTTGCACCACGGCTGTTCCACCGCTGCGTACCTCTCTTGAGAACTTCCGCGTACGTCGGCTGCCGCACGTTGCTGCTCTCTATCACAGCGGAGCCCGCTGCTTCTGAAACAGGTGTTGCGTCGTTAGGCACCGCAACATTGTCCACATCTTCCTCCTGCGCCTTCGCCAGCTCGGCCGATAAGTCACGTGGCGGCAGTGTGCCCGCCGATTTCCCACTGCGTGCTTGTTTCGGCGGTAGTGGCGGCGGCTCCGTCGACACAGGAACCATGCGGCCACGAGGCGTGCGGGGCACCCCTTTTGCAGCAGCCACCGCGATGAAGAGCGTCTGGTCAGCCTGGCAGGTGTCCTGCACCTGCTCACACAGAGGAAGTACCGCCGTGACACGCCAAAGAAACGCAGCCCCAACGTCGAGACCGCTATCAGCCGGCGCCAACCACTGCAGCCGCCACACTGCCGTGCGGGTCGCCTCAGCAACGAAGCACGTCGGCGACTGCTGCAAGAAGGAAATAACGTCGGCCCACGTGGCCTCTGTGGCCGACGCAAAGGCGACGTCCACACCTTCGGGCAGTCCGGTGCCCGACGATATGCTCTGCAGTCGAATGATCTGGACCTCACTCAGTGGGCTCGGGCGGGCCGCGAGAAGGATGCTGCAGAGATACATGCTGCTTGTGGAGATAAGTTGGAACTGCCGAGGAAAAAGAGGAATCTGGGGCTTCAGAAATAGAGCCTCCTGCCGTTCCAACAGCTGCGCATGTTTTGCCGACGCCGTCTGGGAGGCCAAAGAGGCCAACGGTGACTCGGACTGGGCGCGTGATGCCCCGTCCCTCTTTTCCGTCACCGTCGCCGTTGTTCCCTGCGCGAGAGCATCCGGCGTGAGGGTGCACTGCCACATCCCGGACGACGGGGACTTGATGAAGCCGTCGCCGCGCGATTGCATGCCGTTGGCGAACGCGAGCACTCGTGGCATCTTTGACGGAGAGGCGAAGAGAATACGCTTGGGGGATTCCTTTGTTTTGTTGTCTCCTACACAAAGGGACGCCGCCAGCAAGCAAACAAAAAAAAAAAAANAAAAAAAAAAAAAGAGAGAAGCAAGGAGAGAAGAATTCAAAAACAAAAACACACAAAAAAAAGAAAAGAGATGATGGTTCCCGTTGAAGCCACACCAAACAACAACAAAGACGACAACAATGAAACAGTACCGGCAGTTCAGAGTGGCAAACAGTATGTCTTCACTACGGGGACTCCATCACCAGAGCGTGGCGCAATAGATAGTCAAGCAGCAGCTGCGGGTAGAAGCGACGAAAGACGGATAGTGGCATACTGTACAGCTTGATGTTGCGTTCCCAGTCTTCATTACCACCGCCACCACCACCACCACTGCTGCTGCTGCATCCGTTGCCCTCTGCGAGAAAGTAGCGCACGACAAATTGGTCCCGCTGCCCCCGCACGAGCTCCTGCGTCGTGTGTGCAAGCACACTGTTGAAGTTACAGCGGGCCCGCAGGTTCTCTGCCTCTTCAGAACCAATAAGCGGTTCAAAGCTCGTGACTACGCCGTACGCCTGTCCGCTCTTCACAAGCGCCGCCGGGGCGATGCCGTGTATCTCTATACTTCCCGCGTCGTGGCATGCGTCGCTGGCATCGCCCAGTTCAAACTGGAGCGCCGCCGGCGTGCGGCGCACCGCACTGGCGCAGGTGTGCATGAAGCTGACCGCGTGCTGTTCGCGCCAGCACTTCTCCAGCAGCAGTGCGGGGTCGCACGCCGGCTCGTGCTCCTGCTGCCCCTGCGGCTTCTTCTTCTTTGTCGGGTTTAGTCCACGCGAGGCGACATCCGTCAGCACCCGCTCACCCAACGCCACGACCGACGCCTCCCCGCCNCCGCCACTATTATTGCTGTTGCTGCGGTGCACGACAATGGCGTGCAGCGGCGGTGACGACGAACTCTCCGCCGCGGGGCTCGCGTCCCTCGCACGCTTTGACGGCACCACGCGGCTCCCCGCCCACGTGGCAATGCGCCGGAGCGCCGTGCCGCTTTCACGGGCATCGACTTCCGCGACGAGGGACGCACACGACGCGACGAGGTTGCCGCGCGGCTCCCACGTGTCGCAGAGACGGTCGTAGCCCTCCCACTGCACGCAGTACTCGACAGCGCCGTCGTCGGGGTTCACGCGGCGGCCGCCGATGCCGCTGACGTTGTAGTGCCGCATGCCTGGGAGTGCCGCTGCACACTGTGTGGGTATATATATATATATATATATATATATGTGTGTGTGTGTGTGTGTATAAGTGTGGGAGTACCCACACACCTCCTTTCTTTCCTTCTCGGTTCTCCCTACTCTTCCTCTGTGTACCCTTGGCACGCCACGACGGCAACAACAACGGTAGCAGCAAACAAAAGCAGCAAACACAAAGCAAGAGTATGCGCTCAACGTGGCGTCCCTCTCCTCTTCCTCGCCAATGACACGAAACTACAGAGTCACCATTTGTGTGACACATGCAACCTGTGTATGTATTGTGAGTGTGCGCGTGTGTAGGCGTGAGTGAAGGGCAGAAAAAAACAGCAACGCACGTCCATCAAGCACAAACCAAACTGTTTTTTTTTGCTTTTGCTCCCCTCGCCCCTACATTTTCCGCGCGCATCCGCTAATGCCGCCACCAAAGCTCCCCACTCCAGTGAGTGGGTGGGGAAGAGGAGGAGGAGGCCCTACAGCAGCTCGACCGTTGCGCCGAGCTTCTCGAAGAGACCCTTGAGCTTCTCCGCATCCTCCTTCCGCATGTTTGTCTGCACCAACCCCGGGCACTTCTCAATGGCACCCTTCGCGTCAGAGATGGAGAGGTTTGTGACGGAGCGGAGCTCCTTGATGAGCTTCACCTTAATGTCCGGTGTGAACTTCGCCAGCTTGACGTCGTATGTGTTCTTTTCCACCTTCTTCTTCTCTGCCTTGGGTGCCTCCTCTGCTGCCGCTGCTGCCGCCGCCGCCGGC